CACACACACACACACACATATATATATATATATATATATATGTACATTAGTTTTGCAAAATTATGATTAAAAAATTCGAATAAAAAATACTTTTGCTCTGATATATCAGTCACGAGTCAAAATACGTTAGGAAATGTAAGCATGCGTAAGAATGCATATAATTTGCTAAACCTAAACTGTGTTAACAGATATTTATTCGATGATTATTAAATTAAGTTTCTTTTCTATAATTCATGCAAGTTCTTTAAAAAAAAAAAAAAAAAAAAAAAAAAAAAAAATTTTTTTATTCGTTTCACTGTTGTTTATTTGTCTAGATTTATAAGAGTAGAGTCTCGTCTGTATGTACATATTTCTATGCACACCTGCATGTTTTCCCATGCTACAATAGCATGTATCTATATATAATTCACGTATTTAAATACTAATTTACTTGCATGCAACTTACATGTACGTACGCGAATTCACGCATACGTTCATTTCTTACATACGTTGAAAAAATGTACGTGCTTGTTTTATGCAAATGAATTCGCGTACACGGCTTACTCAGGCCCATGCATAAAAAAAAATATATATATATGTATAAGTATGTGCGCGCGCGTGTGCATATATGTATATATCGTCTAGTAGAAATTACAATGCGTACTTATAAATTAAAATAGTCACCATAAATTTGAAGATTTAAATTCTTACTTAATTTATCTCCTAGTATTGTAACTTTATGTATGGTGTTGATAGCGAAGATCGAAAAATCATTATAGAGACAGTAAGATTGATCGGCATTGAGACTCGGGCATTTACTGATTATTTATGGCTTATGCCTTATACTTTAGGTTTATCACGCTTCGAGCGCCAGAAGCGGTAAATTTAAAACTGAATACGACACCAATTATAAATTGTATATATAAATTGTGATATTTAATGAAAATATCGATTAAACGATCAATTTTTTACTAGTTATCATTATAGATATTCAATTCCAGCGTATTTAATTATTCTGTTCAATTGAAATGTAAAAAACTATACTTATGAATTCGAAAAAATATGCAAGTTTAATGACTGTGGAAAATTTACAATGATTTATAATTAATCACATAATTATAGCAGTCTTGCGATTCTAATTTTATTTAATAACTTTTTGTTATTAATGTTGCTAAGAGAGTATTCGAAAATATCTGAAAGCCTTAAATTAGTTTCATAACCAATTGGATATGAAATGTGAAATTAGCTAAATTTAGCCAATTTCAGATTATGATACTATGCACTTTCATATATATTAGAACATAATTATGTCTATAAGAATAAATTTTATATAATATTTCCACTAAAAACATTTGTAGATTAAAATTTTATTTAATTCTTTCTAATTCATTCGAAACACAACTCTTAATATTTTAAATAAAAAGTATATTTCACACACATACAAAATTATACTTTCTATAAAAAATGACTGTATAATTATATTAATTATTAAATGACAGTTCTTACAATAATTCTTAATTTTTAATTACAATCATAAAATTAAAAATAATAGAGAATTATTAATAGTTTCGTATATATATATATATATTTTTTATATAAACAATTAATTATTCACCATTAATATCGGTTTTACGAATATTACTATTATTGTTAATAGTGGCATTATATATTAAATGTAAACAGTAATTTATATATATAAATTTTATAAAAGAAACAGTATAGAATATTATAATATAGAATATTAATGTAAGAAATTAACTTGATAATTTTTATTCACAAATAAAATAAATTTTTTCTAGAAAAATATAAAAAATTATATCATGCTTCATGCGTAACAATTTATTTAGTTATAAAATGAAGATAACTCGTAATTATTAATAGAGTAGAGTTTTCATTGACAAATATTTATAAAAATGAAGAATCTTCAAAATTTTATTCCCAATTTGTAAATATTTGTAAAATATCATAATAGAAATTATACTTTTTTTTTAAAAAAACATTCATCATGAACATTAATAATACCCAATGAAATCCCAATTTTCATTAAATATTATTACTGCATTATCGTACATGCCGCTAATTAGTTACAAGTACAATCTAATTAGTTACGCTAATTAGGCACGTTTAGTTGAGATCCTAGAAAAAATTCGCAAAATGTTCTGTCACAAAGATAATGTTAAACATCGGCTCGACAATTTTCCCTTGTTGAAGAAATGCAGAAAATATTTACACTTATATCACAATGATTTGAAGAAGTAAAAATAAGAAAAAGGAAAGACAACATTGGATATTAAGTTAGTGTGTGCATTGAAAAAAAAAATATATATATATATATATATAAATATATATAAATATACTCCATATAAACTACTGTTTAAATTGGTACGAATAAAGTATAGACATTTGATATATATGATTTTTTATCGTAATAAAACCGATCAGTTAAAAAAAAAAAGGAAAAAAGAAAAAAAGATTTCTTAACGATATTTGAGAGTTAATTAAATATTTTCATTCCGATATCGATAAATTTCAAATAATATTCCAAATAAATGGCAGATAAAATCACTAAGTAATATATCGCATTGAGCGGAGTGTATTCGATTGCGAATAATTTCAATTTCGATAATAATGTAAAGTCTTGATAATCTAATTTTTAAATTAGGTCGAGATGCTGAAGAGAAATGTGAAAGGAGTATTAAAGACGGAAGATGAGATGTTTATGCGACGTGTTTGCGGAGTTATGGATACGAATTCTTTTGAAAGTGCTGTTGTGCGTGACAACTCGTCGACGAGTCTCCGCGCTCTTTTCCCTCTGGGCGCCCTCACGAATCACCAGTGCATTCCCAATACGAGGCACATCGTCGATTCCAAGGGGGAATTGTATGTGTATTCCACGACGTCGATCGCCAAGGGCGAGGAGATCACAATGACTTATACCGATGTGCTTTGGGACACGTTAATGAGGCGAAAATTTCTCCGAGCGACCAAGCATTTTTGCTGCTGCTGTACCAGGTGTTCCGACGTCACGGTATGCTCATTCTATACTTAGTTATTACACAAATGCTTGGATCATAAATTGTACAAATTGTTTAATCGAATATATGCGCGCATAGAGACTGCATAATATTTATCTTCATTCCAAAGCTTAATATTCATAAATATTTTAATGACAATAGGAATGTGGCAGTTTATTAGGAGCGTTATATTGTGCCGAGGACCAATGTTTTGGTAATTTGCTGCCCGATGATCCATTGTGTTTCAATAGTGCTTGGACTTGCAACGAGTGTGGCCTGGTTATTAAGAATAAACAGGTATCTTGAAGATTCCACCTTCTTTTCTTCGATTCTTTTTTCTTATTTCTAAAGCGTTACAATAAGGATAATCGGGAATATCTGTTATAAGAAATAATTTTCTCTCTTACTTACAGATTTCCTCGATTAGGGCTGGCATAGCAGCAGCAATCGAGGAAGTTTTATATACAAACCCGCGACGAATCTTAAGATTTATACAGAGGGAATTGAGTGTATTGATTCCTGCAACAAATTACGTGACGATGGAAATGTTGTTTAGAGTCGTATCGTTATTCGGACGGGTTAATGGATTTACTTGGCAAGGTATAGATATAAATAACAAATTTCATTAAAAAGTTAATAGCTCTAATGATTATTGTATTGTAGAATTGAGCGACGAGGATTTAAACATAAAAATACAGTTTTGTAATACACTAATTGAATGCTTGGAGAAATTAAATTGCGGCGATTATACGAAAAAAGGTATCAACGACAATGTTTCAGAATTTTTTTTCTTGTCAATTAATGTATCAATACTTGTACAATTAATGTTGTATCTTTAGGCTTAATCTTGTATGAATTATATTGCACGAAGGTTGAAAAATTTAAATAAGCACCAGCAGGAAAGGAAAATTTGTATGTACCTACGAATCATGAGGTAATATGTAAAATTATGCTATTAAAATATATAGAGAGGGAATCGAATGTATTAGATTCCTATATATATATATATATATATATATATATAAAAAAAACTCATAATCTTTTCAGATCAACCCTACCGTAAGCGATGACATTTTGCTGGAAGCAATGAGAATTTTGAAAAAAGATGTTGTAGCACCCAACGATTATCAGAAAATGTATGCTGAAAAATCATTGATTGCTTATAAAAAGCAAGAGTAATGGAATATAAAGTCAAAAAATTATCTGTAAAAAAAAAAAATTCTTATTTAAAATCCGAGGTGTGTATAATACAGCTTTTCACAAACATCGTCGAGCTTTTACATCATGTACAACCATTCTTGAAAGTACAAAGTCTTCCAAAATTGCATATAAGCATTACCAAACTCTTTATACACATATCTCATGCTGTTTGTTCAAGAAGTAATTTGGCTTCTTCGTATAAGCTCGTACAAGGTTTAAGATTCTCATCCACGTCAACATCGTTCTTACTTCTGAAAATAAAATAATAATATATATATACGCGTGTAGTATGTACACATATGCATATGTATATGGACATTGTGGCGGAGTGGGAGGTTGGGATAGGATAGAATTGGGAATAAAAGAGGATATAACAGATATATAGAATATAACAGAGTTTTTAGTTTCGGTATACATGTCATGGAATCTTATAGAATTACACCTGATACCATAGAAATTACCTGTACAATAAATCATCATTGCTTATTAATCTATACGTTGAATTTGGTAGGAGCTGCTTTCGTGCTAGTGCTGTATGTACAAATGCCACATTGTCGAGAAGTAACTTACTGGACTCTATAAAATTGAAATTAATTAAGTGCCAGGGGCGAAGAATTGGGGGCCCGTAGGTCACAATTAGAAGAAAAAAAAAAGCAGAAAAAAATATCAATAATAAAATGTACACTCTACCGTTATCTGTATACTTTTGAAAAAGCTTTTCCACTAATTCTTGACCCGCGGCTTTCACGGAGATTCCAATGCGCTGGAAAACTGCTCTGCACTGCCAACGATCTTGAACATTATCATGACTAGTGGCAATGGGGCGCCTTGGCTGAGATTCCTTCACGAGACTTTCCCAATCGACTCCCAGGGCGTCTCCCAATCCTTTGCAACTGGTTTTAACATCTTCTTCCAGCTCGCCGTCGGAAATCTCTTCAAAGTCCATCGTTTCCATGCTCTCTTCCTCAATATTATTCTTGTTGCTGTAATCGAAAGGTAGGGGAAGGGTGGTGAATGAGCGAGGCCAACGAACGAGTCGCCGTTACGGGCGAATGGCGAATAGGGTCGAAGGGCTAATATTGGGAGGGCCGACTGGTGATACCTGTAGGCCTCCGTCGAATCCTTATCTTTCGCGAAGACAGCGTCGTCCACGGGCGGCTTGGGCGACAAATGCGCCTGCTCTTGACTTTTCACCGATGCCGAGTCCTTCTCCGTCTCGCTGGCTTTTTTAACGCTCGCTTTGCTCTCCGTAACTTCCTCCTCCATATTAAGAATGTCATCGGGATCGTCGCTGATGTCGCTGAGGTCGCTCTCCGTGTGTAGCGTCGGCAGTGGCTCGTCGGCGCAGCGCTTCGGCTCAGGCGGGGGCGGGGGCTCCTTAACTTCCGGCTTCTCCTTCGGGAACAGCTTCTTTTGGAAGCTGTCGGCCGACTTTTCCCGGCTCCTGCGTGGCCTGCCCTCCGCCAGCTCCATGAGCTTCTTGTTGATTGGCTCGTCCTTCATGCTGTTGTGGAGCGCCTGCTTCGCGGCGTGACTCGGAAGATCCTCGCGCCTCTCCGGAGTGCCGAAGGGCCTGCGTTTGCTAGAAGAGTGAAACACGCGGAGGTTTAACGAGTCTGTTGGCCGTTGGCCGGTGATGGGTGGTTGGATCGCGCGAGGGGTCAGCAGCCAGTTCACCGACCAGTGCGCCGGATCCGTGAGCTCAAGTTCCTTGATGCGCTCGTTCCTGTAGGAGGCCCGCATGTGCAGCGCTTGACTGTCCCACTTCCTGGGCTCGCCGGTGACCTTCCACTCGGCGATCGAGCTCTCGTATCTCGCCGACCACTCCTCCTCGTGCGCCTCCGACCGGGGCAGACTCTCCCTGTCCCACATGGCGCGGCCTCGCCACTCCCTCTCCTCCCAGTCATTGGGCGCGTATGGTCGGTCGCGCCCCGAATGCTCGAGCTCGTGATGCACCTCCCAGTTGTCGCCGCTCGACTCGTCCCTGTGACAGTTAACCGCGCGCACGTTAAATCAATGTTAAATAAGCGTTAAATTAACTCCACCGCAATTCCGCTCCGTCACCGCTCCATCGAGCGAAGGAGCATGTCCGTTTCGGGGTGAGCGTACCTGACGGAAGCCGGCCGGATCTTGTCGCCGGCGTACAGCGGATGATGGAGCTCCTCGAAGTTGCGCTCCGGCTGGAGCGGGTACCTCGGCTGCCCGCGCTCCTCCACTCGCTGTCGGCGCTCGTTGAACGGGCTGTTGTAGCGACGCGCCTCCACCAGTGGCTTCCTCCGCTCGTCCTCGTGGCCCCGATGCTCCCGGTATTCGAGATGCTGCTGCGGCTCCTCCGGCTCGTCCCAGTGCTCGGGAGGGGCTGGGGGCGGCGGCGGCGGGGGCGGCGGCGGTGGCGCCGGCCGCGCGTAGCCCCGTTCGAAGCCGCGCTCGAGCTCGAGGGCGCGCCGCGGGCTCTCTCTACGCTCCTGCAGCCGCTCGAGCTTCAGCGCCTCCTTACGCTCGTCCCGGCCCTCGAATCGCACCCCGCCGTACCTACGGTGTCGCTCCCTCTCCCTCTCCCTCTCCCGCTCTCTCTCGCGCTCCCGCTCCCTCTCTCGCTCCCTCTCGCGTTCCCTCTCCCGCTCCCTCTCGCGCTCCCGCTCCCGCTCTCTTTCGCGCTCCCGCTCCCTCTCCCGCTCACCGCGCTCGCGCTCCGCACGCTCGGACTTGTGGAGCACCTCGAAGCGCTGGGAGACGCGCTCGCGGTCTCGACCTTCCGGGGCCTTCGGCTCCGGCCGCTCCTTATCGCGCTCGGGCCTGAGTACGCGCGAGCCCTTATCCGGGCCCGACTCCTTTAGCCGCTCCTTGTAACGCGGCCCCTTGTCGAGGGTACCCGCGCCACCCTGCCCGGACTTGCCGGTGTCGCGTTCGGTGCGCCTCTCCTCGCGCTCCTTGTCGCGCTGCTCGCGGCCGACGAGTCGCGGGTGGCCGTGCTCCTTGAGCCGGCGCTCCCTGCTGCGCTCCCTCACCGAGCCCTTCCGCTGCTCGTCCGTGTTCAGGGCCTTGGGCTTGGGTGGCTCGAGCTTACGCGAGTCCTCCCGGTCCTTGCTGCGCTCGCGCTTATGGGAGTCGCGCTCGCGCTTGTCGAGCTCGCGCGACCTGCTCGAGCCCGGTGCCTTGTCCTGCTGGCGCGACGCCACGGAGTCGTGCTTCGTGCGCAGCTTGTCGGGGCTGCGACTGCGCTTGGACTTGGCCGAGGAGGAGCCGTCCTTGAGGTACTGGTGCTTCAAGCGCTCGATTGGCGGGCTCCTCGAGCGCCTCTCTCTGTCCTTGGAGCGGGGCTTCGAGCGCTCGTCGCCCTTACCTTTCTCATCGAGGAGGCGCGGCTTGCCCTTATCCATCTCCTTTCTCTCCGTTCTGTCCATTCTGTCCATCCTGTCGCCCCTATCGCTCCTCTCGCCCCTATCACCACCGCGCTCCATTCTCTCCGCCCTTTCTATTCTATCCGCTCTGTCGAGCCTGTCTATTCGATCCAACCGCTCGATTCTGTCGGCAATCTTTTTTTGGCCCATCTCCTTCGCCATTTCATCCGCCTCCCGCAGTTTCTTATGATGCCTGTCCTTATCGGACTCCCTGAGCTTCAGCTTCGGCGATTCGCTTCTAGTTCGTTCTTTAGCCTTCGCTGGCGTGCCGTGTGATGCTGCAGATAATGGGGATTTGGCTCTAGGTGTAGAAATATGTTTATGAGGTACAATCGAACTGTTTGCTTTCTTAAAGGCTTTTGGAGGGGTATCTTTCTTTGGGGACATTTCTATTTTTCGTTTCTTTTTTGGAGGCAATTTTTCATTTTTTCCTCCTAAGCGCTTTAACTTTAATCTGCAAATGAACAAGTTAATTATTGCCAAGTGAATTTTCAAATTTTTTAATTACACAACAATATTAACATGTTATTCAGTCGTTACTTCTCTATCTAGCACTTTAATAATACTTAAGAAAACAAAAACAAAAACAAAAACAAAAACATAGTAAACACAGAAAAAACGAAAAAAAAGGAAAAAAAAAAGAAATGAAAAAAAAAATCAAAAAAGCGTTTAACGCGGATTTTGCCTTATTGGCTTAAGGCAGCATCGTGACTTATGTCCGCATATCGCATAATGCAACTCAAAAACTTACTTTTTCCTCCTGTCTTTGTCGTCTTCGAATTCCGGCGAAGCGCTGTGCTTTGTTTTCTTGAACTTCTTAACCTTTTTCCTCGAGTCGGACGTCGAACTGGAAGACGAATCTTCGCTACTGGAGCTGCTAGTACTGCTGGATGAGCTCGAGCTGTGCGAACTGGAAGACGTGCTCATTGCCTTTTTCTTATACTTTATCTTATCCTTTCCATGCACCTCTTTATCCTTCTTCATCTGTAATTCCAATTCTCTTTGCAAGAGCTGCCTTCGCCTCTCCAGCACCTTCTCGTCTTCGTACTCCAAGTCTGTCTGATTCCACTCTTCCAAATTCAAATCCGGGCTATGCGAGGTTGTTTTCACAATTTTAGATGTAAGGCGCTTAAAAGGATCTTCGATGAGCTGTAAATCATCACAGGATACATTAGTCGGTGCCCTTAAGATCGCAAATACTCGCCCATTCATACGTCAACTTAATATTTAATATTTACCAATGAAGGATTTGCAGGTGCATTATCCTTCTTCACCCGCTTTGAAGGACTTATTAGTATATGCGTGTTTGCATATCTGAAATCATGATTAATATATATACATTAATATAATGCTTAGGAAGTTCCGAGGAGGTCGCAATTTTATTGGCCTAACGAGGAGTGGGAGGCTGCTAGGATCGACGAAATAAAGGGAATAACTCACTTGCAGTTCTTTCCATACGAACAACTGCCATTAACTGCCCAATTTCTACAGTAATCTGAAGCGTTTTGAGCGGCTGTACTGACCGCTGGTTTAGTGCCCAATCTTTCGAAAACACTTGGACGCCGAGAGTCAATGTTACATTTCGTAGGGTCAACCGTTATTTTCCTTATGTTTGACTTTGACATATTATCACCATAAATGAAACGTATTTCGACAATGGATGCACATACTTTCGCTTCCCTTTTTCGAATTTGTTTTCTGTTTACATTTAGCCGTAAAATAATGAGAGAGGGCCGAGCCACATTTAGCTAGTCCCGTTGTTCCCTTATAAAATTATATCGACCAAGTACCCCAAATATGTATATAAACGTGTATATTTAACGAAAATCCGTGCTGGAAAAACTCCGTCACGCAACAATGCAGCTATGCATCGACGTACATAGCCTAACAATCGCAAGCATATGATCGAAGGGAGAAATACTGCCGCCAGTGTGGCCAACCTACCGTTGGCTGCACTGCCCCTGCCAAATTTATACTTCATTGCAGAATTTTAAATTATCAGCTGACTCGAACTTGATAAAGTGCGTTTAAAAGCCATTGGAGGCATTAAAAGACAATACGAAACAAATTGCCGTGAGCGCCTTCCCAATTCCCAGGTTAAGATTACTCCACTCCCTCGGACACAAAGAGTAACGTACCACAATTATAATTTGCCATTGAAGTTTACCATTGTTTGCGCGCGCGCTCCCCTCGACGCACGCGACGAGTCGATCAAATCACGCGCGCACCAAGTCTCGACAGCCTCCATTATTAGAAAGCCGATTAGGTAATTAGGCAGTCGATCATCGCGACGGCAACGATCGCAAAGTGGGCGGCCGCTACTTATCTCTTATCGACCAAAAGCCGCGAGGCACGACGAATCGGCGGCGGTAGAAGCTCGACTCCAGCCAATGCGCCGCCGAGATACTTTGCGCGCCACACGATGACGGCTCGGATCTCATAAAGAAGCATACAGAGAGAGAGAGAGAGAGAGAGAGAGAGAGAGAGAGAGAGAGAGTGAGAGAGTGAGAGAGGGTGAGAGAGATTGATAGAATAAGGCACAGGAGCTTGACAAGGAGTACACCCACCCAGCGTAAATATAACGCTGGAGTGGACGCGTAGGCTGCACTCGACGATACGCCTCTTTCTACACATACAATATATGCCATATGCATATAAATAAACTCAATAATGTATGCATCAGCTAATGCTAATAATGCAGATACGTAGCCGCATAGATATTGGCATATGCTTGTGTTCGTGTGAAGGTGAGCTAGTCATGCACGAATTGGAAATGTGTACGTGGCCGTGAGAGGGTTGAGAAGGGATGGAGTCCAAACTATTGGGTTGGACCGGGGACTCTCGAGTTCTCCAGGGCTCAGCTTCGACGACTTCTCCCTATTCAGGTCGCGAGATTAACCCCTATAAGACTTCCGTTCCTGGCTTATGCGATGCGCTAAAGTGAGCGAGTCCCTCGCGCTGGTCGAATGTTCCGCGTATATCACGATTTTGAATATTGCGCCGCTGGAAAAGGACGATAAGGAGGAGGAGAAGGAGAAGGAGAAGGAGAAGGAGAAGGAGGAGTTGGAGGAGGAGAGGAGGAGGAGGTGGAGAAGGTGGAGAAGGTGGACCAAATCCATCCAAGTAATCGAGTTGCTGCTGCTGTTGCTGCTGTTGTTGCTGCTGCTGCTGCTGCTGCTGCTGTTGCTGCTGTTGTTGCTGCTGCTGCTGCTGCTGCTGCTACTGCTACTGCTGTTGCCGTCGTCGTCGCTGCCACCGCCGCTGCCGCCGCCGCCGCCGCCGCCGCCGCCGCCGCTGCCGCCGCTGCTGCTGCTGTTGCTGCTGTTGCTGCTGCTGCTGCTGGCTGCTGCTGCGAGCTGCGAGCTGCGAGCTGCGAGCTGCGAGTGCGAGCTGTGAAGAATCTGTTTTGAGAGGCGCACCGCGCACGTAGCTTTTCGTGTCGCTCGCTCGTGGGGATTGCCGATATTCGTCATCCTTGGCAACGAGTGCGGGTTCGCTGACGAGTGTCGAATCGCGAGTGTCGCCGTTGCTGTCGCTGCGCTACGCGGGTCGCAGTAACGTCTGTCTCCTTTGGACTCACGTCCCTTTTTATCTTACTAATGAATTGCTAAAGGGACGGACAACGAGCCGCAAGTGCCTCCAAAGCAACTGCGTACATTCTAACGGATTAATTGGCGATTGAATGGTAAGGAACAATGTTGTGCGAGCGTTGCATAACGCAAGCTTACTGCGTATTCCCACTTTTCTCTATTAAACATAGGTTATATTATGTGTGTATGTCTCATGTTTATATCATGACGATCGTCTTTCACGACTTAATCTACCGTACGTTTGTCAATTAGAACTCGGACTTGTCATTTCCAAAACTCGAGTAATGCGAACTTTGTTTCCGCATCCTCATTGTTTACAATCGTCCAAGACGTTTATTAATTTACTTATCCGTACCATCGACGATTTATAATTCTTGGCATTATTTGTATTCAAATAGAAGCTCGCTTTGAAGTATTTTTAATTATTTGCACGGACGTCGTGGTCGAACTTGGTGGCTATTTGATTTGTTGGCATCGTCGTTTATAAAAATTCTAGAAGGACAATCGAGTTGATACGATAATGAGGCGATACGCTTCTTGATGATTAGATTCATCCGATTGATGTTTTCTGACTTTTGTCAGATTTAACGAATGCATGCAAACCATATTGTTAATTATCTAATTTGTCGTAATATTAGCAAGCGTTTAAGAATTTAATCGATTAATCTACTGCTAATTGTAACCATGTTTGAAGAAATTATGCCTCTGTTCGGGAAATCCCAAAAAAGCCCAGCGGAGGTGGTGAAGGCTTTAAAAGAAGCAGTTAGTGCATTGGAGCGAGGTGATAAGAAAGTGGAAAAAGTAGGTTGGATTTATCATTTTATCTTTATTCGTTTATGATAAAGGTAATAATACATATGACAATTTCTTCTAGGCGCAAGAGGATGTTAGTAAAAATTTGGTGCATATTAAAAATATGCTGTATGGAACTGCAGAGTCGGAACCACAAGCCGATATCGTTGTAGCCCAATTAGCGCAAGAATTATACAACAGTAATCTTTTACTCCTTCTTGTTCAAAATCTCAGTCGGATAGATTTCGAGGTACGACAGACTTATTAATATTACATTTGATATGTGTATATGTATGCATATGAAATTTATCTTTGCGATGTCTTAACAGCTTAATGTGAAACGTTTTAAAAATCTATCGCATGAAAAAATAAACGTCATTTTATCAACTCGATAAGTGCTTAGGCTAAATTGACAGTCTCTGCAATTATTTACAAATTTCTACATTTAATAATTAATTTCAGGGTAAGAAAGACGTTGCCCAGGTATTCAATAATATATTAAGAAGACAAATTGGTACGAGATCTCCTACTGTCGAATATATTTGTACTAAACCAGAAATTTTGTTTACCCTTATGTCAGGGTGAGTCGACTTAGACGTTAAGACAGTTGTTACAACAATTACTAATATTACTCCATTAATACAGAAACGAACACTTTCAGATACGAGCATCAAGATATCGCTTTAAATTGTGGCACCATGTTAAGAGAGTGCGCTCGATACGAAGCATTAGCCAAAATTATGATTTATTCGGATGATTTTTATAACTTTTTCAGATATGTTGAAGTTTCAACGTTTGATATTGCTTCGGATGCCTTCTCTACATTTAAGGTTATTTATATAACTTCATTTTACAAGACAATTGATTAAAAAATGAAAAAAAATAATAATAGTATATATATATATATATATATATGTATATCTAAAATCTATGTTTTAACTATGATACAGGAACTTCTCACAAGGCATAAAATTTTAAGCGCTGAATTTTTAGAAGTTAATTACGATAAAGTTTTTTCACACTATCAGAGGTTACTAAATTCAGAGAATTATGTTACACGTAGGCAAAGTTTAAAATTATTAGGAGAACTTTTATTAGATCGACACAACTTTACCGTAAGTCTCGTGTATCTTAGACATAAGGCACGATATTTAAGGCCATTTTCATCTTACGTAGCTTTCTCTTCCGCAGGTTATGACGCGATACATTTCTAATCCGGATAATTTAAAATTAATGATGAATATGCTTAAAGAGAAGTCTCGCAATATACAATTTGAGGCCTTCCATGTTTTTAAGGTGAGTGCATACTTTGGGAAATGTCGGTTATTTTTTAAACACAAATTTTGGAAAATTCTTATCCGCTATAATGAGACACCTTTATTAATAATCGTAGGTATTTGTTGCTAATCCAAATAAACCTAAGCCAATTCTGGACATATTACTACGCAATCAAGAAAAACTGATAGAGTTCCTTACACGCTTCCACACAGATCGCTCCGAAGACGAACAATTTAATGATGAAAAAGCTTACTTGATTAAACAAATCAAGGAGCTTAAATCTGTACATGAGAATTAAATTGGTACTTTTTTACACTGTTTTCCAGTAGTTGTGTAAATAAAATTTACATTCACGATTTATTATTGTAATATTCAAACTCTTCGGACATTAGAATACTCTGCTACCTTCCACAATGAAATTGACATTTAGTGCTCGGTGTATAGCAGCTACAAAACACAATTATCGACAACAACTCCCCCCCCCCCCCAATATTATTGAAATTAATAAATTTGTTGGAAATTAAATTATTAAATAATATAAATAGAATACGGTAATATAAAATGTGCCTAAGCCATTTTTACGAGCCTAGTTTGCAGCAACAAACACGCAATTAGAATAAAACTTAAAATACCTACGCGCTTTAAATTTACGCCTATTTTCATACGATAGATATAAAGCATTGAAAATTTCATACCTACGAATTATATTGTATGAAAAAGCAGAGTATCGTTAAAACAGGATTCACAATTTTTCAAAAAGTACAACTTTCAGATTAATTGTAGCTGCTGTACTTTGTTTTTATACATTGGATTATCTGTTAAATGCAGCAAAATGTATTACTTATATCGATAGGCATCTCCTGCTTCATTTTATGCTAAAATTTATAATCACATGTATATGTATAGAATTGACTGTTAAAATGTAACGCCAAAACAATAATTATTGTTTATTATATTTATTGCAATAAAAATATTATTAAAAAAAATAGATATCAGTATTTATTTATTTATTTATTATTATTATTTTTTTTTGTTTGTTTGTTTGTTGCCTATGTATATATGTATAGAGATACAGAGAGAGAGAGAGAGAGAGAGAGAGAGAGAGAGAGAGAGAGAGAGAGAAGAAAGAGTTTATTAAGAAAATATTTGTAATCTGTAATTAATCGCTAATACTTTACAAAATCAATCGATAATCAAATATTCATCTACATGTACACAGGCTTTTAAAAAATGTATACTTCTTTCCTCATGTAACAATATTAAGAATATTTCTTATCGTTTTAATAATAACGTAACTCAATCATCTAATGCGTATGTTTCAACTGCACATTGTAAGATTGTGTTCAGATGGAGAAATTAAAGGATCGTTGCAAGTTCGGTGTTGGAAGAATATTTAGAATGTTTAGACGCGAGGCAATGGATGTTATGGCTTGAGAAACACTGTTAAAAATACGCGGACGCTTATGCCTTAGTCCCCAATCGGGCTTGGGACTTGGCAAAGTATCACCTTTAATTTTGGGCACGTTGGGCGTGATTCTTGTCAATTTTCGATTAATCGACGTGTATAAAGAGCTGAGTAAATACTTCGTCCGAGAGCAATTTTGCACAGCCTACAATCAATGAGATTTCATCATTAATAAATGTATTTCAATCGAATCGTAAATCTTGTTGTTAAAATGCTCAAAATATTAAATTCACCATACCTCGGCGTATTTCGTATTTTCAATGAGGACCCATATTAGCGTGGCAGTGTGTAAAAATAAATCATCCTTCTTATCTGCCGATATGGTCAATAGCCTTACTAGCACCTCGATGTATTCTTCCTGTGAAAATGTTGATGAAGTTATGCAATGTCAAAACTTTACGACGATAATTATCTTTAATACCCACCTTGAAAACGTATGCCGTCGTTGGCTTGAACTTGGCTAGAGTCAATAAAATGCTTATGTCTTTTAGGCAAACGTCTAACCAAGGTAACGATCTATTAGCTCGAGTTAATATATCGTACAATTTGGAGACTAAATTTAATTGGCATACGTTGATGCAAGCGTTCGGAGATAAACGTGTTATTATATCTGCAAGAGAAAAGATTTCTTGAGGATTTGGGATTAATTGGCGTGCCAATTGTCTATTTTGGCTGAAATCAAATCCCATGTCCGACCGCGTAAGACTAGTTGTAGTGTAGTGCGCGCCCAAAGAGTTATTATTTTATTTAAAAGTGTCGCGTGCGATTCGTTGATCGCTTAAATAACTTAAATAACTCGCTTAAACAACGAGTGGATAAGCGATTAGGAGGCAAAAGAATTTACTTTACTTATGCGACAATGTTAAAATGCTGCTGCTGCTGCAAAAAAAAAAAAAAAAAAAAAAAAAAAAATTTAACGATGCTTTTTACCGCGATTACTCAATTACGAGATTAAAATGCCAAAACACCGACGCTTTTATAATCTTTCGTTATTTATCGATCACCTTCAAATGCGAAATCGACGGCGTATTTTTGTTTTTTTTTTGTTTTTTTTTTTGTTTTATTTTTATTTACAAGCAAGCATTTACCTAATGATGCTAAGCAGATCGATAGCTGGCCAATGTTGGAGGCATTCTTAAAGATTTCGATATTCTCTTGCAATCGGAAGGCGAGCGTAGCTGACGGGACGGCGGCTTCGGCTGCTTTTTTCGCTCTTTCGCGTAACATTGCCATTCTTTTGCTCGCCATTAGGCGAACTTTGTACCCCCTCCAGACGGCTTGAATCTTAATTGCAGCTCGGCACATTCTATCGAACTTAATTCTCTCGGCAATGCGAACGCACCGCTCTTTAGAAGCATCGATCCACCAATTTTCTATCAATGTAACCGCCAATTTTTCCTTTACCTTCAAAAGCTCCAATTGACGTTTACGCAAAATGCATTTCCACCACTTTTGAATCCTTACGATTGCCAAAACTCTATTGCGACAGTCGTTTCTTACTTGTAAGGCGAGCTTTCTCGCGCGATATCGCCTTTGCAATACAATCACGGCATCTTTCCTTTCACAATATTGAATCTTACAAGCTCTCATTTTACATATCGAGCGCCAATATCGTTGGATCTTTAGTGCCGCGTCACTTTGTCTTTCAAATTCCTTAATTTGCCGCTCAACTTTCAATAATTCATGTTTTCTCCATTGTCGTTGTATTGTAATTGCCGCTTCACGCTCCCTCGTATACTTCCTCAATTGCCGATGCATTCTCCATTGACTTTGTATCTTAATAACGTTACTTCGCAAATTCAGGAATTTATGGCGCGCATTTCTCACATCGATCGATAACCTTCTCCATCTTTGTATAATTATCGCTGCCTGCTTTTTCCTCTTATAATCCGTCATTGCTTTATACGATCTCCAGAATTTTTGGATCGTAATGGCCGATTCTCGCAATTTTTTCAATTTTCTCCTCTCAAGTTTGACCATACAATTTGCTCGGTACTTTCTTTGAATAAAGATTATGAAATACCTACGACGTATGTACATTTCTCGTGCCTCTTTTCCACTTTTCAATGCTCTCCACCTTCGCTGTAAAACCATAGCGGACGCGTTTCTTTTAATCAGCTCTCTATAACGTCCTTTCTCCTCTATCATCCTCCACCACGATTGAATTTTCACGACACAATTTTTCAATTGTAGATACTCTTGGCGCTCTCTTTTCATAATAATTTGCGCTCTCCATCGTCGCTGGAAAGCGATAAGTGTGCTTCTAGTAGCCGAATATTGCACTTTAATGCCTCTTCCAATTAATGTTGCGAGCCACCGAACTTCAACGATCCTTACCGCAACTTTCAATTTCACGTATTCATCTCGTATCACTCGTGACGCAATAATATTCTTATACCATAATTGAATTTTTAAGACGGAAACCTTCTTACATTTATAATCTTTTATCATTAATTTCATTTTCCAATTCTTTTGGAAAATTATTGCGGAATTCCTGATTTTTAAGTAATTCGAACGTTCCTTCCTACTTAAAATGACCCTTCTCCACCATTTTTGTATTTTAATGCAGTTTTCACGTTGGTTTTTGTATTTTTTTAACGCGACAGCGAATCGCCACCACGATTGTATTTTAAGGCACGATTTTTTCTTATTTTTATAAAGCTGAACGTCTTTCTTAGTCACTCGATAATGTCGCCATGCCCTTTGTATAATTGTAGCATTACGCCTTTGTAAAAGAAACAGTTTCCTCTCCTCGGATACGGTCTTTCTTAATATCCACAACTTTTCAATAAGTCTGACAGAGTTCTTTAGCGCAATAAAATGGCTTCGATGTCTCTTTGATACGAGATAATTTTTCCACGATAGCTGAATAAATTTAATAGCACTGAGTTTCCGTAGATAAATTATTCGTTCTGATCTTGCCAATAAGTTTGCCCGCCATTTATTTTGAACGAAAATAATGGCTGTTCTTTTACATTGATAATCTTTTAATGTTTGTTTAGCTAAACAACAGGCTCTCCACAAATTTTGAATTTTAACCGTGCCTGCTTTAAGCTTAAGATAATTATTTCTTTCATATTTCATTAGACATTTGGCACGCCAACGTTTTTGTATGCTAATTACAATTTGTTGTTTCTTTTTGAATTCATTTACGTACGGTTTTGTCGAATAAATTCTCTTCCACCATCTTTGAATTTTAATAATCGACGCTTTCGTACGCTGATAATTCTTCTGAATTTCTTTAGCTTCTCTTTTTAATCTCCAATATAATTGTATTTTACTAATAGCTTTGGTTTTCTTTTGTAATTCCCGAGCGTACTCCTCTCTTAATATCTGCAGTTCTCGTCTTGCCAAATAACATTTCCACGCTTTTTGAATGACAGATGCGGCATTACGTCTTCTATTTCTTAATATGTTTTTAATATAAACATACCATAATTTGGATCGCCACCAACGTTGCAAAGTTTTAGCAGCATTTTCAAACCTAGGAGCTTGAAATTTGTATATAATTTGCCAA